ATCGAGCGCAGTTTTGCTCAACTTTCGCTCCGGGCCAAACCTCCCTTGGTCCAGAAGACCCCGCAGTCTGTCAAGCGCAATCTGGCCTTCCAAACCTCATCGAGTGTCAGCAATGAAGTGACTCCAATAATGGTGGTACAACAATGCCTCGGGACTCTTTCGTTCCTGTCTCAGTACAATCCTCATATCGCGTGGTTTTTCTTGACTGAGCATGATCCTTCATCTACATTGAAGTTGAAGGCCTTCCGCAAAGGCAAGGGCAAGGAAAACAAGGCTAATAAGTTCGCCCTTAATGCGCTACTTACTCTTCTTGATCGGAAATTGATTATGGAAAGCCCAAATTGTATGGAGCAGCTTTCTAGCCTCCTCAGCAGCATCACACAGCCGCTCACCCTGCTACTTCGCCGTGAGAAGGAGAAGCAAGAGGAAGAAGAGAAGGGCAAAAAGACTGAAACAGCACAGGATGACAGGCCGACTGAGGAGCAGCAGCAGCAGCAACAGGAGCAACCGTCTGATACTGCAGAGCCTACGACCTCTGCTACAGATACAACGATGACAGATGCTCCTCTGCCCAGTGTAGAGAACACCGAAGCGCAAAGCGCAACGGCGCAGCCTGAGGAGGGTACATCAGCAGAACCCTCTAAATCAGAGACAGGAAAGGGTTCGACCGAAGATGAGAAACATAAAAAGAAGTCTATAGAACCGCCCGTTGTTCCAGATTACAACCTGCAGCTTGTTGTCCATATTCTTGCTGCTCGCGAGTGCAACGGCAAAACTTTTAGGGAAACGCTCTCGACAATTAACAATCTTTCAGCCATCCCCAAGGCCAGGGATGTGATTGGGAATGAATTAGTTCATCAGGCACAGGACTTGAGCACTACTATCTTAACGGACCTGGATGAATTATTGTCTCATATTAATCAAGCCCGGACTGGCACCGACATGCAGGGCTTGGCTCTGGCTAAATTCTCTCCAGCTAGCTCTGATCAAGCGAAACTATTACGTGTGTTGACGGCACTTGACTACTTGTTTGACCCTAGTCGATCGGATAAGGCCAAGGGAGGTGATTCCGAGCAGGCAGCTAAGGAGGATGTCCTACAGACCTTGTACGAAAGTTCTACATTCGGGCCCCTCTGGACAAGGCTGAGCGAATGCTTGACCCTTATACGGCAGAAGGAGAATATGCTGAACGTCGCAACAATCCTCTTGCCCCTGATCGAAGCATTGATGGTCGTCTGCAAAAATACCTCGCTGAAAGAGACTTCCCTTTCTCGGAACACTCGAGAGCTGTCTGTATCTAGCACTTCTATCGGCACTGGTTTGAATATGGAGAGTCTTTTCTTCAAGTTCACGGAGGAACATCGCAAGATATTAAACGAACTTGTTCGTCAGAACCCGAGGTTAATGAGCGGCACTTTCTCCTTGCTTGTCAAGAATCCGAAGGTTTTGGAGTTTGATAACAAGCGCAATTACTTCACACGTCGTATTCATTCCCGTGGTGCAGAGCCTCGTCATCCTCATCCTCCCCTTCAGCTCTCTGTTAGGAGAGATCAAGTGTTCCTTGATTCGTTCAAATCCTTATACTTCAAGACAGCGGATGAGTTGAAGTATGGCAAATTGAATGTGCGCTTCCACGGTGAGGAGGGTGTTGACGCAGGAGGCGTGACCAGAGAATGGTTTCAAGTTCTCGCACGCGGCATGTTCAATCCGAACTACGCTTTGTTTATTCCTGTTGCTGCCGACCGGACTACCTTCCACCCCAATCGCCTGAGCGGTGTGAACTCCGAGCATCTTATGTTCTTTAAGTTCATTGGACGAATCATTGGCAAGGCTCTGTACGAAGGCCGCGTGCTCGATTGTCACTTCAGCCGCGCTGTCTACAAGTGTATTCTTGGACGTTCAGTATCTATCAAGGATATGGAGACACTCGACCTCGACTACTACAAATCTCTCCTCTGGATGCTCGAGAATGATATCACTGACATCATCACCGAAACTTTCGCCGTGGAGACTGATGACTTTGGCGAGAAGCAAGTGATCGATCTTGTGGAAAATGGAAGCAATATCCCGGTCACTCAAGAAAACAAGGAGGAGTACGTGCAGCGCGTCGTGGATTATCGTCTCGTGCGATCCGTTAAGGAGCAGCTCGACAATTTCCTCAAGGGTACGTTACGCCCTCCCTACAGGTCATGTAGAATATCAGCTAACAAAGGTTTCTAGGGTTCCATGAGATCATCCCAGCAGATCTGATCTCGATTTTCAACGAACAAGAACTTGAGTTGTTGATTTCCGGCCTTCCCGAGATTGATGTGGACGACTGGAAGGCTAATACCGAGTATCACAACTACTCGGCCTCGTCACCTCAAATCCAGTGGTTCTGGCGTGCCGTTCGCTCATTTGACAAAGAAGAGCGGGCTAAGCTGCTACAATTTGTCACCGGAACGAGTAAGGTGCCACTCAACGGTTTCAAGGAGCTTGAAGGTATGAATGGAGTTAGTAGATTCAACATTCACCGCGATTACGGCAATAAGGATCGCCTTCCAAGCGCGCACACATGTTTCAACCGTAAGTCATCCGATTTGTCGCTATCAAGTTCAAACTTACAGGTTACTGACCATGCGGGGCAGAGCTTGATCTTCCGGAATACGAAAGTTATGAGACTCTGAGACAACGGCTGTATACTGCCATGACAGCCGGTAGCGAATACTTCGGGTTCGCATAGATTGGTGGTGGTGCTCTCTTCAAGACAGCTTGGGCGATAATACTAGTTTTACGCGATTCATCTTGCATCTTTTCTCATTTCTCACCCTGTTCTAATGCTTGAGCATTTGGCGGCGTTCAGCTACACTATTCCTTGTTGTCTTCTTCCTAGTCTGTATTGCTACTGGGGTCGATCATGTATTACGAAAGGGAGGAAAATCTCAGACCGCGACTGGAAGCTGGTTGAAGTGCAGGTCAACTAGTGTGCCAGGGATAGAGCGATATGGCATTGTGAAAAATCATCTCACTTTCTTCACATTCATGTATTTAGGGTTGTGTTTTATTTTTTCCTTTCTTTCTAGATCTCCCAATAACTTACTGCATATTTCAAATATGTTCTTGATCACACCCCGTAGGCGGTGAGCAGCGGCGAGCCGGGGAGTCACGGGACGCAGTGATTTTTCCGCTGGGGAAAAAAAGTTGCCGCGGGGCATTTATCACCTTTTGTTTGACTCTGGGGTTTGATTCTCCTCAGTCCTTAGAATTCTTCAGTTGTCGTATTCACCGGTCCTGGTTTAAACAAATCTGTCTCTTTTGACTATCGCATTTTCTGTACCCGGTCGACAATTGACCTCGACACACCATGGCTGCCAACTCTATCAAGCTCCTGACTGGTAACAGTCATCCTGAGCTTGCGAATCTTGTGGCTGATCGGTACGCGATCCATTGTCATTGAATAAGCTTTCGCATGCTGTGCTGTCTTTCTTTGGCTAATGATCTTTTGCTCATTCCATCAGCCTCGGTATTGAACTGACCAAGATCATGGTCCTCCAATACTCCAACCAGGAAACGAGCGTGACCATTGGTGAAAGCGTACGAGATGAGGATGTTTTCATTCTGCAGTCTACTAAGCCCAACGACATAAATGACGGTCTGATGGAGCTGCTCATTATGATCAATGCTTGCAAAACAGCTTCTGCGAGACGTATCACAGCTGTTATCCCCAATTTCCCATATGCTCGTCAAGATAAGAAGGACAAAAGCCGTGCGCCTATCACTGCAAAGCTTATGGCCAACATGCTCCAAACCGCTGGTTGCAACCATGTTATCACTATGGACCTTCATGCCAGCCAAATCCAAGGCTTTTTCAACGTTCCGGTTGACAACTTGTACGCCGAACCCAGCATTCTTAAGTGGATCCGGGAGAATCTGGATGTGAGCAATTGTATCATCGTCAGTCCAGATGCTGGTGGTGCGAAGCGGTAAGTCAGCTGCATGTTCTTATAGAATATGGTCGCAGTCAAGTTCAGTGTTAATTTGTGTCTGTCATCAGTGCTACCGCTATTGCTGACCGTCTCGACTTGCAATTCGCACTTATCCACAAAGAACGCCCTCGCCCGAACGAGGTCTCCCGCATGGTTCTCGTCGGCAATGTTCAGGATAAGGTTGCCATCATCGTGGATGACATGGCTGACACATGCGGAACTCTGGCCAAGGCTGCCGATACTGTAATGCAGCACGGAGCGAAGGAAGTGAACGCGATCGTTGTTCACGGTATTCTTTCCGGCAAGGCCATTGAAAACATCAACAAGAGCTGCCTCAAGCGTCTTGTGGTTACCAACACTGTTCCTCACCAAGAAAAGAAAGAGCAGTGCGACAAGATCGAGACAATCGATATCAGCCCTACTCTTGCCGAGGCCTGCAGACGTACGCATAATGGCGAGTCCGTGAGTTTCTTGTTCTCCCATGCTGTCGCCTAAATAGCTACACTGGGTGAGGATAATGGAAAGGGGTCTTTCACCGGGACAGAAGAAGAGGAACGTTAGTTGTTTCTTCTAGTTGAATTCAAATGCTCAACGCTTTGAGATTTGCAGTTTCTCAACTGGCCATTGATCTTTTGTTTTCTGGTTTAAGACGGGGAAATTTATACTCTGATAACTATCATAACGCGAATAAGGCCATGATGTATGCACGAACAATGGGTGGAACAGGGATGGCAAATTCCGAAAAAGTTGGCGTCGCCTACGATGAATTGAATTATGCATTTGTACATATACACGTACTGAAGGAGTTTTCTTGTTCTTTTTCTGTTTTGGTTTTTTTATGGATATAGAGGAAATCTGAGAATGTGACGGCTTGGCTCACGCTGCTTGCTAATGTTACTATTGCTTGGGTTATGGCATGAGTCCACCATGTAATCTTGCAAGACTCCACTATTATTGGGCGTTCCGTAGGTGCTCCTTAAGCTTAAGAGACTCGAGGATGATACTACAACTTGGCAATACTGAAAAGACGATCTCTTCAAGTAACAGAAAACAAACTAGGATTTGCAGTTGTGAGTACAAAAAACATCGAGCTTCATTCATTTATCAAGCAGTGCTAGCAGTCCGCGGAACCGTTACCCTGTTACCGTGCAATGTGGATCCGAGAACAAGAAAACTTCTTTCACATTTTTTCCCTTTCATTCCAGCTGTGGATATGGCTTTTTTAAAAAAGAAAAAGGCAGCACGCTAAAGCCTCGGTCCCGCAGACGCATGTCCCCCAAGGAATATATTCTGTTCTCTTGGGTTACACCCCTGCTTTGCACCTCGATAGCCCCCTTTCCTCGTCCGCTGAGAATTTTCCCTAGCCATAAGAGAGACGTAACCCGACCATTAACCCGGGAGAAGATGCATTTACTTCCTCATAGAAGAGGCCCTCCGCTTGCGGAGCTCATCACGCTTAGCCTTCTCCTCGTGGACACGGTTGGCAAGGAGCTTAGCGTAGTCGTTACTGTTTCGCAGCAATTAGTAAACCCGAATCTGGATGTGGACGTGTGAAGGTAAGGGAGCTTACGCAGCCTCGCGAGCAGCCTCAGAGCGGCGGCGCTTGATGGCAATCCTGTGACGCTTGCGCTGGAGACGCTGGGGGGTAACCAGACGCTGGATCTTGGGGGCCTTGGTGTATTCGGGCTTGCCCTCCTTGGTGACGGTACGGCGGATGACGAACTTGCGGACGTCGTCCTTCTTGTCGAGACCGAAGAAACGGCGGATCTTGGTGGCACGCTTGGGGCCGAGTCTCTTGGGGACGACAGTGTCGGTGAGACCGGGCAGCTCACCCTCACCCTGCTTGACGATGCTCAGGGCCAGAACAGCGAGATCGAAACCGGTGATGGCTGTGGGAAGTCATCAATAAACGAACTATGCGCACAGGAGCAACAGGATTACTGATTTTCAAAACATACCACCACGGACAGACTTGCGCTTACGCTCACCGGTGCGGCGGGGGCGGTAGCAGCTGTGGCCATCGGCGAGGAGGAGACGGGTACGGGTGGGAAGGAGAACTGCAGAGATTCGATAAGTTTTCCTGTTGGTGATTGCTGAGCGTTTGATATCGGTCGGTTACATACCACCCTGCTTCATGGGGAAACCTGGTAAAAGTGAATGTCAGCATTTTAGCTCAATCCTTGTCCCGCAATCCCTATGCCCTTCTTTCCCAATTCACACGAATCCCATAATCAAGAAAAATCTTTATAGATAAAAAAAAAATTCCAGCCGTACCTTGCTTGTCGTTACCACCGGTGATCTTGAAAAGGTAACCCTTGAACTCATCACCAAGGGAGTCGCCGGCAACCTATACAACGAAAATATTCCCCGATCAGTCTTCTTGCTTCCAAATTTTTCGCGTGTTGAATATTCAAATTGCAGATCGAAGGGGCGTGTTCAAAATAGGGATATGGGGTTGCTGACTTCGGTTCCCATGCGCTTCTCCATGAAGGGACGGAGCTTGCGCTCATCGTCAACCTCGATGATCTTCTGCGACCCATTGGCCGGGTAAGAGATGTTGAGCTTCATCTTGACGGAGCTGCGCGGTCAAGACGGAGGGCGCGGGTATTGTCGACAGGTCGAGGAGGTTAGGTCGTCGGAGATTCAGTACTTGGGATTTTTGGCCGCTGTGGTGTAGCGAGATTTCCCTCTGTGGGCGGCTGACTAACATTGACCATTCCCATCTGGGATTAGTGCCGCGAAGTAGGGCTTCTTATGTCAGCCGCTTTCCATTTCGGTAATTTCCAGACTTAAAAGTATGTTCCATTCAAAAAGATCATCAAACTTCTTATGTTCATCTGTACGGACAGTGAGATACAAGTTACTAGGTACATCTGCTGGTATACATTCATCTCGTGGTATACTGTACTCGGACAACTGCTGTACCTTTACGAGAATCCACAATAATAAGGCTTCATTTGACAATAAATACTACTCTATCTTATATCTCATCTCACTTGCTCTTTACTACTATTTAAGAGATTCAATCGTCTATGGTTCATGAATGTTAACAAAGTAGGCATTTTTGGTAAGACACATATCAGTAACACAGTTGAAGCACTGACCCAAGCACCCCCCCTTCGGGATATACAGATCAAGGTGGCGCTTATCACAATCACATTTAAAATGCGCTGTAGCTCCTTTTAACCCACCCAGCATCCACTACACGGAGTATTCCCCGTCTGCAACTACTCCGTACGTACGTATACCCATTATCGAGGACACCAACCCGAAGTAGGAATTATGCACCAAGTATGCATTGAAAGACTGATGCAATTAGTCATCAATCCGTTATGCAAAAGAAAAAGTAAAGAAAGAAGGAAGAGATTTCGAGCGTCACGGCTGGTTTAGTCAGAGGGGTGGGCACCTTACGCAATGACCCAAGCACGCGACTGGTTGACCGATCCGGAGTCGCCGCGCGGAACAACAGCCTTATTATGGGGAATGGCATACTGTGAACGCCTTAGGCCAAGTCGACAACGTTCTTCCCAAGGTGTTATTCTTAGTATTGTCTTGTGTCAATGCGGTAGTTCCTCTCCTTTTCCTTAATTATAGACATCTCAATCGACTTTCATTCTTTCTCCTCACACACTAGTATTCGACATTCTTCAACCTCCTCCCCGTCATCTCCTTGGGTTTGTTCCCTTCCTTTCATTGTCTTTGGAAGAAGACTCTTTTTCCCTTCTCATATTCCCCACCTGGCTTGCCAACCCTCATCACTACGCTAGTTTCACTGGAAAGTCCCGGTTTCTGCACGGTACCCCCCGGAGATACGATTCTTGTTGCTCAACCCTCCCCTCTGTCTCAGGGGGAAGGCCTCGTTTGATCCATAACCGGCGCTTTTGATTGACATAGACGCTCTTAGTTTTTCTGAACATTTTTTAGTCATCTCCAGCAGCAAGTGTCTCAGAAAAAAAAATTATTCACAGTTACTTGACGTCGACATCCACAATTTGTTGGATGGGATTGGTAGGAGACGGCGAAAGAGACTGCCGACCGCCGACATCTACACACGGACAGGCTTCGGACACCTTTGTCACACTTTCCATCCCTTTGTACTAGCTCTTTGTCTCAACCCGCGATGCGCCTCTTCAATAAGTTTCACACTGTATGCGCCTTGGCCGTAGCTAGTATCCTGCTATCAGCCTGGTTCCTCGCTTCCCAGAGTTACTATAGACGAGTGGTGCCGACCAATGGTGAAGACTCCAGTTTCAATGTCGCTACCTCCTTTGATCGGAGGTTAGTCGTATTCGGTGATTCGTGGAGCGATAACAATGCGGGCGAGCTTCAAGGGTCTGTCTGGACGGAGTGGCTTTGTTCGAAGGTAGGCAAACCCAAAAACAAAGGCCGTCCCAGGGCCCGAATTGACGATGAGCTCATTCACGGTTTAGTTTCAATGCCACCATGAGAATATGGCGCAGACAGCCAAGTCACTAAGAGGAGAGTATATTGGCTCGGTCGTAGACAATGACGAGTTACCAGATTCCTTGCTCAACTTACACAAGTCACCGCTGGCCGACTTCAAGGCTCAGGTCAGTCAGTGGACCGCCGCCGAGACACGTGCTGTGCAAGAAGACCTAGCGGGCAACAAGGAAATGATCAGCCACCGCCAGAACCGCACCATTATTGTCGTTTCCTTTGGTGTTTGGGATGTGTGGAACATGTTGGATATGGACTACGACACTGCAACGCAATCAGTGGACCGCAGCATTGGTGTCATCATCGATCAGCTCAATGTGTTGTCTCAGAGTTTGGGCACGAATGAGCTCAAGGTCATCCTGACATTGACACCAGATGTCACCTTCCTTCCAGCGTTCAGGCCCACGAGAAGTAATGTCGGCCGGCACAAAGAGGCGGTCCAAATTACGGAATATTGGAACCGTCGACTTCGTGAGGCTGCGGAAAAATGGGACCTAGGCACAATCTATCTGTTCGATACGAACGCTTTTCTAGCCGACCTGATCCGTGATTGGCAACTATATGCTGCCGGCATTGAAGAACCCAATGGGCTGGGAAAGAACCAGGAGCCCGGGTGGGAGAATGTCGACGACGCATGCGTCGAAAATGAACAGCAACTAGTGATGACATCAGAGGTGAAAAAATGTGACAACCCAGAGAAGTTCTTATTCTGGTAAGATCAAGACATGTTACCAATGGTTCCCAGTGACTCGAGCCAGACTAACCGTATCTTCAGGAACGAGATGCATCTGGGTCCCTCGGCCCACCGACTCATGGGTACGGAAATTTTTCATGGGATCGAAGAAATGTGGCTCAGATAAAGGTGGATTTCTAAGAAAGAAAGAAATTTTTTTTAAAAAAAAAAGGAGCATAAATAATGTGTTTTTTCTCTCCAGTACAACACCGCGGATAAGACACGCGCAATCTAGACGTAATTCGTTGCTCGGGAGGAGGTATGTTTCTGTAGACAACCAAGGCCACCGCTGGTTTCCGACACACAACAAACGCTTGCTGCAGAGGGAACACAGCCAAGATGACCTCAGCTGACGAGCTCACAAAGAAGCCCTTCGGTTCAGCTTGTTTGACCTTGGCTATGTCTCCCAGAAGCCTGGCTGTGCACCAATCATGAGTCTCTAGCTGTCTCATTTTGTCTCATTTTAAACGAAATTGGTCTGCCGAATCTTGACGATGGAAAATCTCAGACCCAGCAACCAAGATCTCGCGAGGTGGTATGTCCCATTCAAACATGGTGGAGTAAAAAGGGAAGACTCCATCGGCTCGACTGCAACGCGATTGTGGAGCGACGATCACGGAATGGGAGATCGACCCAATACCTTGGGAGACCTGCAAGTTGTAACCTTCATGACATAAGGCTTCCCCAGCTGGCTAGAGGGAGCACCTTGATGCCGATCGTTTTTCTTTGACCCAGGAGAGAAAAGAAGTTCTTTGTGAGAGGGACTGCGGCTTGTAAGAGGATGATTTGTTGTTTTCCTTTGGTCCTTGTTCTTTGAAGTTACCTCTTATTTTTCCCTTTGGTTTTTTTTTTTTTTTTTTTTCATTTTATTTTTTTTGCCCTTAATTTCTGACATTCTTTCATTTGCTTGTTTCTTTGTTCTCTGTCCTCCCTCCAAAGCAAAAGGTTGCTTGCTACCTGATTACTACTACAAGTCGGTCCGAGTTAACTGGTGGGGAGGGGGAAATAATTAGTACGTAGCTTAACTCAATCGGTCGTAGTCTGGCTAGTCCATAGTTTGTTCCCGTACCTTTTCCTCGTTCGGTCAAGTAACCGTGACTTGTATGCTTCCATGGTTGGTTCATCTGATTTTAATCAGGCAAGTGTCATTTTTGCAAGTGGGCCACTCACGGAGGGTCCGAGAAGGAGTGTGATGATTGGCTCGGAATCCCTGCTAGACACCGCATGCGGGCGTCGGGGACAGACAAAGGACGGCTGGAAAATCAAACATCGAAACAATACCTCCCATGTTCAAAGCTAGTACTAGTACCTAGTAGTGGTAGTGGTAGCGACGACGAGAGTGGAGGCAATGATGGAGGGGGCTGCATTGCTCAACTTGTCCTCTGCTCTGGACTGGTCACCGGTTTTTCATTGGGGTCAAGTACAAGTACCTTTGAGCAACTTCCAATGGCTCGTTTCTCTCCCTTTTCTTGATCCACTACCAGTAACTAGTCCTTAGTATGTAGCACGGACGTTGTATCATTCTCTCGTCTTCCATTATAGAGTACCATGGGAATGGATGTATGTCTATGAGACCTTCACCTTGTTAGTGGCATACTCCGAGTTTCATAACCAAGGATTCAAAGAAAGATGACTTACTACTAACCTATCCTACCTGGGTAGGGCTATCGTTACAGTTCTATCTATGGAGGTTTCATTCATCTATGGCATTCTGCTATCCTGGTGGGGAGAGGGGCTTTACGGGATCCGAGGGTATTTGTGTCATCCTCTCGACAGAGAGACAAAGAAAAAGGAAATACTAGAGAGAAAAACAAATAATAGAAAGAAAA